TTCAGCAGGCTTAGAGGCATCCTAGTTCTACATGGTGTCCCGAGCAGGGTTTTGTGGGGGACCTCATTATTATACCAAAGGTGTTCACAATGGTATGTCGATCAGTGGTTTTGGGCCTTAGTCGGTCGCCTCAGGTCCTCCCGTGGCTAGGTGGAGTGATTGTCAAGGTGACCCTCATAATGGGGGCGGTTTGATGTTCATGCGCATTGCTTGGGTTGTCCTATGTTGTTTTATTGTTGTCTTTTCTGGTGTCTTCTTAGCAGGCTCAGGGACGTTCTCATAGGTGATGATGTATTTCTTGGCCATCTCAAACAGCTCAGCCAAGCTTTGTGGTTGTGCGAGTTTAAGGTCGAAACAATGTCAGTGCAGTCTAAGCCATGTCAGGCTTCAAGCTCTTGACATCTAATGTTTCGATCTAGAAGCGTGCGATAAACGATCATAAGCTTGCATTGGCCCCTTGCTTTAGCTGCCACAAGGATTTGGTACTCTTTTTAGGCCTCAGGGCACTAGCAAAATGCGATAGGAAAAGTTTTTTGAACTAAAAAATAGGTGATTAACCTTGTGGGCAATCCGTTGAACCACCTTAATGCGATCGATCTCAGCGTTATGAAGAAGAGCTTACAATTGAGGGCATTAGAAAGTTGTAACAGGCATATGGACGACTCAAACGATGTGAGATGCTCATTGGGATCTGGTTGTTCTTTACACGTCTCTAAGATTGACATCTCAAACTTCTCCAGGGTTTCAAGTCTAGAGATTTGTAGGGAGAAAGCATTCTTCGGCTACTTTTGTACCTTGGTCTGCATTGGTCGGTTCCTCTCCTCCACGAGGGTAGATCCGGCTTTGACTTAGTACAGACTGTAGTCGGGCTTCTTCAGTAAATGGATCCCCTTCCTTCCATTTTTGACTAGCGGTTCTCCTTGAGGGGAGTTGAGTGTTCCTTGTCGTACTGGCTTTCCTACTGGAACTGGGGCGGCTACTAAAGCACCGACTGCCCTAAGGACTCCTGCGAACTGTCCTAACATTTGGTTGGTGATCTGGGTTCTTAAATCTTGCAAGCCTTGAAAAAGTTTTTCCATGAACTGCTTCTCCTTCGATCCTTTAGCTAGACTCTCCCTGTTGTTGTTGTTGGGCTTCTTTTCTTGTTGACGGCATGTTTTTACACTCACAGCACCTTAAAGAATGTTGGATCCAAAATATATGAGCAACTCACCAAAGGAGCTGAACGTTATATTAGGGAGTGGTTAAGCGAGAGAGAGAAAGAGAGCAGCAGCAGTAGACAAACAAAAGGAGTTTCTTATTCACAATATGGACTCCTATTTATGGACCTAGGTCTCAATATTACAAAAGCATATATTAGCTACCTCATTATTAACTTTTTAGGAGGGTCTTTTGGGTAATTACAAAGTTATTTACGTATAATAAAATG